ATTTTCCATCATCAGTCTGGAAGAGAAAGAGGTTACAAGGCTAATTTAATTTTTTTTTTTTTTCCCCTAGCATTAAAGCTTAACTACACAGGCACAAAAACATCATTAAAGATGCAGTATTCTTTTTTATTATGATTATATTCTAATTAATAGACAATGTCTAAACAAAAAGAGGTAGAACTGGATTCCAAAATTTTAGGATTTTTAAACAACACCAAAAGTTTCCATCAAAATGTTCCTAAGCACACATTGCACAGAAGCTTAATATTTGGTTCTGTGAAAATCACTTAAGATGGAAAATACATATGCAAGAATTTACACGTAAAATAGTTGTACACAAATATTTTGTTCTCTGTTCTGATTCTGAAAGAGAGCAGATAAACCCTATATTTAATGCTAGTCACAGGGCTTTTTTTTTTTTTTTTCCCCTCAAGAACCTGAACTTAAGCAAAAAAAAAAAAAAGCTGCTTTGGAAAAAATATGCTACCTTGCATTTTCTAAAAGAATGACTTGCTTAAAGCAATAACTTCTTTGCCCTGTATTATTTGAAGTCACTCTTTTAATCTTGACTTATCAGTGTCCAAATGGGCTCAATACATGAGCCTCCTCCCTTCTGCTTCCATAACAGTTGTGTCCATGTCTGGACACTGGGCATTATATTAACTGCTTAGTCCAGTAGCCAAAAGATTCCATATGCTTGAACAGATGACTATCTCCATACTGTGATGGGATATTTAACTGTTTAGCTCTAATGCTGTAGTTCAAAGATTTGGTTCTAACTCTTACCTGATTTTCACAGGCCAATTTTCAGTTTATGCACATGAAATGTAAAATAAAATCGCTGTGTTGTGTGTGCACTCGTGCACTTCTCCAGTTTAATTTATGGATTTTGGGAAAGAGGTTTTTTATTAAAGAGAGACGGGGAGGGTGTGCATACAGTGTCCTTCTAACAAGTAAAATTTATTAAAATGACAAGACCTTTTCAGGCATTCCACCTCAACAAACAGCGTGACTGTTCACCACAATGTAGTTAATTTGGTTAACAGACAGCTAATATGTGGGGACAAAAACAGGCTTCAGGTGTATATTGTATTTGTTTTTGAAATGGGTAGTTGTTACCAAATCAGAAGTGGTAGTGCCCGAACACAGCCTGTTGGCTACCAAAATCTCATTTTGTGAAACCACAAAAGACTTTTATTTCTTCTACAGCTTGATTAGCAAATACAGCAGCAATAAGAGAAATGAAAAATATACTGTTTCCCAAATTAAATTTTGAATAGGACATTTCCCTGAGCTTCCTACTCAGTCAGAATTTTAAAGATGCTTTTATGGATGTCTAAAAACCAAAAATACTCATACCCTAAAACTATGTGAATAACCCAAAATACCTGTCATAAACTTATGACTCTTTATACTTATTTCTACAGCTGTTAAAATCTATGTCTCATATACAACAAAAAGCAACATGCAACATTAAAAAGCATGTAACCATATTTCTTAGGCACAATGCATTTTCAAGAAGCAGTAGGAAGACTTGAAAAATAACCTTCCATCAACTATTTTAATCGCACCTGTAAGTAGCTCAATATTTATTACCTGACAGACAGTGTAAGATAAGAGGATGTTCAATCAGTAGAAAATATCAATCAAGTAAAACTTGTCACACATCACCTGAATAAAATTCATAACTGGATAAGTTTTTTGTGTCATTTTCTTGAAACCCTCTTCCAGAATAGTGTATTCTTATTTTTGTGGTTGAGAAAAGAGAATTTTCTTTTTTTCTTCATGCACTGTTTGCCATAGAAGTTTCATCAATAAAACTCCCAAAATCTGTGTAATTTAGTGCACTACAATTTTTTTCCTGTTACTCTGGAAAAACTCCACACACAAACAGACTTTTTTTGCAAACTTGTGTCTTTTACCAAAACACAGCCTTACAGGACATCATGAACTGTCCCACCAGGCTGCATTAATGAGCATTATCTTTGGATAAATGCAATTCCAAATTATTAAATCTAAGACAATGAATAGCTGGAATAATGTAACAGCCACACTGGTGCATGTGTATCACAGAGGGAAAAACATCAAGAAAAAAATCACTGTTCAGTGCTCTGCAATCACTGAGGAGTCAAACCAGACATGAGAATGCAGGGAAAGTGAACAAACAATAACAGCATTGCTGTACTACCTGAAAAGGTAAGTGGCTGTTTAGAAACAGATTAAGGAGGCAGCAGGAGAAAAACTACAAGCCAGAACACAGAAAATACGAAATAGGGAGGATCATTTTAATGTCTCACTAGCCAAAAAAAAAAAAAAGGATAATATATGAAAGGTAAAGGCAAAATTAAACTTTCTGAAAAAGAAAGCAGGTAGAGTCAATTTGTGAACCCCCTGTCACATTACAACATGCAAAGTATTTGGCAAAATACAGGAAAGAAAACAATTTCAAAAACACACACACACATACATATATATGTGCATAATTCATATACTTCATATAAAATCCAGAATGAGTCTGGGCTGAAAAGACATTGCCCCAGCCAAAAATCAGTACCACCTATTGTTTTATTTCTTCTTCACTCGAGTCACTGGTACTGGAGATTGACAGAGACAAGGTAAGTTATGTCACTACCAAAAATCTACTTTTTCATGACAAAGCAGGCAAGGACCAAGCTATATTTTTGTATCTATCATCCAGACAAAACTTGGATTAAATGTGATTTTGAACTTAGATGTCCTTCATGAAAATTACACATGTGAAGAATTTACTTGGAGGCCACCCAATTAATTTAGTTAGGGGTTGAACTACAACCTGGGAAGCAGAGGAACTATTAGAGTAGTACTAGAGTAGTTCAGGGAAAAAAAATTGGGAATTTCTACATCTTCAGGAAAACAGTGTGAATTCCCTAAGTGTTCAGTGCACTGACTTGAGGATTCGACAGATAAACACGTGCTAGAACTGGCTGACGGAATTAAACATATATACACTTGGAAAAAATAATGTAAAGATCCCTCTGTGTGACTGTGCTGGGAAGAAGAGATGTTTTCCTCACTTGGTGAGCGCAGCAGAGAGGAGAGGAGCTGTGCAGGGGGAAGGAGAGCAGCTGCTGTGAGCACCAGCAGCTCCGCACATGTTGGGCTGCGCTCTCGCCCTGCCAGCATCCCCAATTAACGGTGCCAGGGAGGCTGCACACATCCCAGGGGCTCTCTGACAGGCTTCTTGGAGAGGGCAGCAAGCACACAGCACACAGCAGGGCTCTGGGAACTCACTCATGTGGCCGAGGCGGGACCCTCAGGAGCTCTGCTGCTCCTAATGACGGCTCTCGGCACAGCGCGGTGTGTAAAGGGTACACCGAGTTCCACCGTTTCAAAAAAAACTAAATTAATGCCCTTGTTTGTTTTAGGTGGCTAAGCAAAGATTCTGCATGTTCCGTACATTTATTTTTTTTTTATTGAGAATTTTCTAATTTTTTTTTTTATTTATTTTTCAAAATTAAAAACCCAGTTATTTACAAAATAAGCTATAATTTCTATCCTAACTCCCTGGAATTTATAAACACAAACCAAGAATCAACTTCTCGAGTACGTTTGAATCAAACTTCTGTTTCTCTCTTATAGACACTTCTGTATTCTCTAAAATACAAACATACTTTTTATTGGCATGATATATAAAGAAGACTACAATGGAAATATATCCCAATTATGGACAGGCGATTCCAGACTGTAAGAAGTAGGTTCATAGTTTTACATTCACAAATTCTATTTCTTGCATTAAATTTAACTGCCCCTCTTTCTGAAGGCAGACTGCCACCTAATATTTAAAAATAATAAGTAAGTAGATGGAGGTATGTACTGCAAGAGAAATATTCACACACTTTTGACTTCAATGGTAAAACTAGAAAATAAACCTTCTTTATTTTTGAAGGATTAATTGCATTGCTATTTAAATAAATAACATTTGCAGATATTCAAAAACCTTTAACAAAATGCAGTACATGTGAGTCATGTACCTACCCAAGCCAGGATTTCATTGATAAACTCACCTACTATGAAAATATTTTCCATAATATGAGGTTTTATCCAGTACTTTTTAACTGTAATCAAATCAAATACATAAAATTATAGGCTCTCTGTTCATTGTGAATAATAATATTTCTGCTTTTGTAAGCTACAGTACCACTCACAGAACAAAAGACTATCTACATTTTTCCTTTTGCTGAAAAAGTTTATTTTCAGAAGATATATTTAAGACTCTGTATACTATCAGGAACAATGCTGTTAATTGCTTCTGATTTTACAGTTGGGAAAATGACTCCTGCCATAACTGGTTTGCTCCTAGTCCCAGTAGAAGAGGATATTAGAATTATAGAGCAAATCTGTACCCTTAAAAACAAGACCAAATATCACCATAATGAGCATTTTAGATAAAAACAGCAGAATGAAAAGCCTTGTGTTGATACTCCAAAAAGCATTTTGAAAGCACTGGGAAAGTGCATAGAGGGGTTGTAAAAATAATTGAAAAAGAGATTATTACAGGTAATACAGTTTTTGAATTTTTGACAATTTTTAAAAAAAGGAATAAGACCCACATTTGGCATAACTGCTCCTAAAATTCATAATTGGGTAAATTTTTTTTGTGTCATTCTCCTGAAACCCTTTTCCAGAATAATTTATTCCTATTTTTGTGATTGAGAAAAGAGAATTTTCTTTTTTCTTCATGCACTGTTTGCCCTAGAAGTTTCATCAATAAAACCCCCAAAATCTGTGTGCTTTAGTGGACTACTAAATAGTGTTCCTAAAATAATTTTCTGCTTAGGTCTTGGTAGATTCTGCAGCATGACTCTCCCACAAAAGCATAAAACATAAGATACAATCATATTTAAAGTCATACTTTGGACAAAAAGGCTTTTAAAAAAAAGTCCAGAACTGCATTAATTTTTTTACCAACTTTTGCTAAGCGATGTGCCAGCTCTGGAAGCCAGCCAGAGCAGCATTCCTACCTGGATGAGGTGAGCAGGCACTGTGATGATGCAGGCTGACAGGGATTTCCTGAGCAGCCCACGCAGAACATACAGGAATTTGGTCAGGCTCTGAGGATCTTCAGGGGTATCACTGCAACAAACATCATCACCCCACAATACGGAGCCCAGGCTCTGAATCCCTATCCTTAAAATATTCCTTTGTTTTTTCTGTTGGGAAAAAAAAAATAAATTAAAAAGTCATTATTTTTTAAATGCTCAGAGGAATACAATTTCTAGAGTGCATATCCATAATTCTGTGTTTTATGTAATCATAATAATCTCTGTTGATCTCATAAAAATTGCAAATGGAATGGGATTTTTTCTCTGCTTAGATATCATGGATAAGCAAGTACAAATGTAATAAATAAACACATGGAAATACTGAGAACTATTAATCTGTATTTTTTAACCAACTAAATATAAGTATATTCTGAAATAACATCTAGTAACACTAAGACATTTTACATCCTTTCTTTCCTCCATCATTGCCTTAAAAATCATGTGGAAGAGTATTTTCTCCCAGTCCTAAGACAGCCAGCTGGAGTAATCAAACCCAACTTCTCCCTCTATTTTCACCTTTCTGCCATGTCACTTTCACAACCTGACTATTCCACTGCTTGCTGCAGTTCCACTTTTTCTGCTCCTTCTGAGAGAACAAGGTCAGTGCTTTGCTCACCAACACAGGGGCGTGCCACTGCCTTAAAAGTCTCCAAGTATCCTTTATTTTCCTTTCAACTCCTTCCCACTAAGTTGTAGCCAGAGCTGTGGAAACACAGAGACTGATGGAAGCAGATTGTCCCTTAAGGACCCCACCTTGACATGAGAGTTTCTGCTTTAGAGGCAGTGGCCAAGATATAGCTCCCTTTCTGAAGGGACAGATGATGAAGTCAAATTTTAATTTGTTCATGCAAAAGAAAATGTTATCTCTCATGATGATAACTCTCATTTCTGCTTATTTGATGTGACCTTTCCTGGTGGTCTTTGGAAAGGATTTTAGATATATTGGCTATCAATAGCTGAGAGAGAAACAATGAACTCCCTCATTGAAAGACTTCCTGCACAAGGTGACCAAAGAAACATTTCTAGAGTTCAGGGTTCATACTTGAAGACCAGCTTTCTTTAATTATACACACACACACACATATATAAATACTAGTTTTGATAAGTAAAAGCTTGGTACTTTTCACTAGAGAAAGGTGTTTTTGAGAGAGAAAAACAAGCAGGATGGGAGTGCAGGGGCTGAGCTGGAATTGGACACTGAACTGCAATGTGCACATGGAGCAGAGCTGATCCCAGGGAGAGACCCCGTGAGCGCTCCTCGTGCATTTTGGGACCATTTGGGTTCATCTTGGGTGCAGCCCTGGCTGGGCTCTTGTGCTGCCCAAGGGGGATCCATGGTGGAGATCCTTGGAATGAATCCCTGCTTTATTCTGTAACTGTCTGATCTCTGTTCTAGGTCAGCCTTCTCAAGGCATCAGTAGATATTCATTTCCAACAGCTGGAATAAACAGCAACTCTCAAGCACAAACCACGGCACAGCTGCTCTGGAAATCCAGAGGAAAGGTTTTGACAAGACAAGAGGCTGCTCTTCCGAATTCTGCCTTATCCATGTTGGTAGGCAGAGCCTGGGTGGTGAGACACAGTCAGCCCCGCACGGCTCTGCTTTTATCCGCTTGTGTGTCTCACGCAGGGAGCTGATCTGCCAATTCACCTCCAGTCCCTGGGGAAGCTATCTGTGTTTCAACTCTGGCTTCTTTAGTCTCAGGCTTTGCAGGCTTTTAGGCTTTAGTTACAAAAAGTGAACTTTTTACTCCGCTGTATGAAGATCAGGACAACAGTACAGGATAAGACAACACTTCCCCGTATGGTATCCTCTCAGATCAGGTGTTCAGTTTTAAAAAGAATAGCAAAAAAGAGAAGTTTTAGTCTAATATTCTTTAATTACTTCTGATCAGATCAGATTCAGGCAGTTTTTGATGTGCACTTAAGCAACAGGGAAACAACCAGGCATTTAAGAAAACTGCTTTATCCAGCTATCATGGACATTAACCGGCAGAGAAAGAGTTACAGTATTTCAAAACTTCAACACAAACATACATAAAACTTACAGAAACTTTTTAAATGAGAAAAATTTTTTTTTCTTATGAGGAACATCCACAAGAACAACATACAGAGGAAAAAACTGTTCTCTTAATGGAGAGAGGATGACAGATGCTTATTTCACAACATCAAATCATAAGAGTAATAAAAGATAAAGCTATTCAAACACCAGATAGTATCAGATGTATTTATTTGGTCAGTAAGAGAACTTCTACCAGCATAATTTATTATATAAAAATATATATAATAATATACATAATATATATAATTTATTCCTGTTTCAGTTTATTCCAATACTGCAATATAAGAAAAGCATAAGTCTAATATTGTCCCACAACCAGCCTGCTGTAAAGAGTAGGATACCATTTTTTAAAATGCACCACTAGATCTTTAGTATTTGCATTAGTCTGGAAGTTTGGATTTATTTTATAATTTTAAAATTTTTTAAATTTAATTTTTGTAACAGTCAACAACAATGAAAAAAAATCTCCCCAAACAATTACCCTAAAAGGCTCCAAAGTATACAAGATGAATGTTAAGGAAATAGTTGCCTATTAAAGCTGTGATGACAAACACGAAAACCCCAAAATACTCTGAAACAAAGAGGTGCTATTCTATTTAACTTAATGCCATGATCAAATTGTAAAGGATTCCCACTTCAGGATCATCAGCAGAGTTACTGGGAGGCTTTAGAAAGGCTGTAAGCCTGATGCTTGTATTTGTAGCTTCTAGGTAATTAAAACTCTGATTTTCCAAATATTAACTAATTATTAACTATTAACTAACATTACCTGACTGTACCAGGTCCTAGAGCTAAATCTCTAATGGTGATTTTTCACTGATTTTCCCAGTTGTGTCAAACTATCTCTCAGCTGGGGTGAGTCACATTCTGCTCAGTTTTCTTCAAAAAAAGAAGTAAATCTAAGTATCAGTGGCAAATTGATGTGAAAGCAGCCAAAAATATCTGAAAGTTTTACCAGTCAGGCAGAGGATTATTTGGGGGTGGGGGTGGGAGTACATGCACAAACTTCTCAGAAGCTTTTATGGTTATATATGGCAACCATACACAGGTCCAGAAGGATACAGGCTGCTCCTTACAATCTTCACAACTGCCTACTCAAAAAGCACTTCTGAGGGCTCAGTAAATGAAATTAAATGAAATAGCAGAGAATTGCTCAGAGATTTGGCAAATAAAAGATCCAAGGTGTGTTCTGGGCCACTGCTGCATTCAATTCTGGACACATTTTTAAGAAGTGTGTATTATACAAGGTTTCTAAATGTACAAAATTTGAGTGTACAAAGAAAGATGATGCAAGGGGAAAAGCAAAATATGAGAAGAAAATAATAGAAACCACTCCAGGAAATCCTATGCCTACCCCCCTTGAAACAGAAAGAACTACATAGTGCTAATGGCTTTCTAGATCAATAAACTGGCCTGAAAACTAACTTTTAAAGTTTCACCTTTGAAACTTATATGTATTATTGAGCAAACATCCACAGTTACATTCATCTCAGTTAAAGTTCAGGTTTTGTTTTGTTGACACCAGTAAGTAATTTTGAAACAACTGACAAAAAGCAGAGAAAAATAATGATCGGTGATGTTTAACTTTTTGCAAGCAAAAAACCACCCGAGTGCTGGCTCTGAGAAACCTTCATTTTCTTTTATATAAGTGTATGTATAAAGCAAAATAAGCAATAAGAGGCTGATGTCTTGGGCAGGAGGCTGGCTGGAGGCTGGCAGGGTGTTTGTGTCACCCAGGGCTCTGAGGCAGGAGGAGCATCCCCGTGCAGCACAGGAGGATGACACACATCCCTGTTGCCATGGCTACCGTGGGGAGAGGGGCCTGGCAGGGACCAATGGCCTTCTCCAGGCTGGCACTGCCACCGAGGGGAGGGCAAAACCCTCCCAGACATCTCGGCTGAGCACAAGCACCGACATTTACACACGAGGGCTCGGTGCAGGTAACGCTCCTAAAGCACACTGGCAGCCAGGAAAACAGCCTTTCCTGCATCATCTCCCTGCAAAAACGATTCCCAAGATATTCCTGAGATATTGGGCTTGTATTAAATCATTTCAGGCTCTCCAGAATCTGTGCTAATTGGCTTCTACTGCACTAGCATTTCTATTGTACAGCAAGAATTACCTTTCAATTGAGCATCAATATATACAATTTATTATGTTATTTCCATCAGCTCCAAAGGACTGCCATGTTACTGAATATGACAAAGAATAACTTATAGGGCACTGCTCAAATTAGAAAAGGTCTTTCAGCCTATGTTGTTACAGTTAAAGTGCTCTTGATTCTCACATTTTATGCTTTATGAAGAGTACAGAGATTTTTGGAAGGCTGATAAGCTGATTTGTAAATTGAAATAGCATTCTTATTTCTTTACTTCTCTTTCAATGCTCACCACAGAAAGATACTACCATTTAATCAATTAAAAAATTCACACAAACTAAAACAACAATAAAAAACCCTGAACGTTTAGGGGTAAATGTTTAACCTCAAGAATCTTGAGCAGATTATGCTAAAGCAATAATTTGAAAAACAAATATTGTAGGTGAAAATGTGTTTTGTTTATTTCCATTATCCTTGGCCATCCATTTATTAGCTAATTGCACAGAAAATGCATTTTATTAATGCTGTCTTAAATTTCTTTCTCTGCATATCTGTAACAGGTAAAAAACGCAAAAAAACCCCTTAAAACATGAACAGCACTATTTATTTGCTTGTTTACTTTAGTGATGTTTAGAAACAATTTGTTCCTTAATAATTTGTCCAAGACCTTGTGCAAGAAAAGCAATAAAAGAATAGTTACAGGATTAAAGAGGAGTGTGAGGGCGTGCAGTACCTGGGGATCAGAGCCATCAAAGCCCTCCTGGGAAATGATCCTCTGAATGGACTGAAGCAGCCTTGCATAACCACTGTTCATATTCCTGTTGGGAAGCAGACATATTTCAGTTACACATTTTAATATTCTCCTATACGTGCCTAACAGCTGTATAAAAAATAAATATGAACAGATGCAGCCTTCAGTGCAAGTGTCACACAGAAAAGAGGTGTCAGAGAAGAAAAAAAAAAACCCAAACTCTTTGAAAAAATTTGACATTATAAGCAGCTGTGATTGCTTCATATTAACTAGTTCAGTGCTCAGACATTTAGTGAAAGCTAAAATCTCTAGGGATTAAGATAACTTAATTATGTCAGGCTCACTTACATCTAGAAGATTAATGATTTAATGTATCAACTTAAAGCTGAAACCATTCCAGCCCAGTACTAATCTTCTGTAAGTGACAAAGATCTACCCAGTTGTTGTTCCAAGTATACCTAATCAATGCCCTGATGAACAGAGTTGACTTTCTATGAAAATTTTCATGCATTTTCACTGCTTTATTTGCATGACAGCAAAATTGTGAGGTAGCATTTATTCTATGCATTGTTTAGAAAATACAACACACAGAAAAACAAACAGAAGCGAATGGCTAAAAAAGGATTTCAGCAGACAACACAAAATGAAAGTTGAGCAAATCATCTTGTCAGACTTAGAAGCTCTTTACTTTCAAAGAGCAACTGAGGTGCTCACTTTTTTAAAAGAGAAACTGTTTTCTTAAATCCCATGGACCACACTGGGCTGAATGTCTGGGCCTGATGCAGGCTCCTCATTGCAGCCTAAGCCCTTCCATCTTTTCTGTCTTTGACATTTTCATCCAGTCTCATCTAGGGTTGAGGATACAAACCTCTTGCTGTACTTCTTGGGAAATACAACAGGCTATTTTGAAAATTTTGCCCCTAAAAATATTCTTGTTTGCTCCATAACTTATGTGTTTGGTAGCAGCTCATGTTGGAAGGCACCTTGAGACACCACCTGGCCCAAATATTAATGAAACATTATTATTAATATTATTCCCTTTACTTTACTAAGAGCCTAGACTGTTATGCAATGCATTTTACTGATGAAAAAAACCAAATAAACTTGCTTTCATCCCTTGGCACAGGAGATAATTCAATTTTTCTGAGAAGCATGTAAGAATTGCAATGATCTATCATTTGCACCTTTGCTTCAACATAAAAATGTGTGTTTCCTTTAAAAAGACAGTATCCATACCACCCCAACCCTCAAATTTACTTGAGTTATAAACATCTACAATCAAAAAAGTCATGTGGTCCTAAGAAATTTGAGTTTTGAAACAATCAATATCAAAAAACATTAAGAGATGACCTTTCTCTGATATGAACACAAAGGAGAGTTTCCAAATTAAACTCTATTTTTGTTTCAGATTTAGAAGGCTACTGGCTAAACTGATGCACTTTAATAATTTAATACCCTTCATGAAATTCAGAGCTGAAAATTAACTGGCAGTGTATGATCTCAACCTGATATTTCATGCATAAAGTCTGCATTGCTATACAAAAAAAGCAAGTTGAACTTCTGAAGGCCATTACTTTCCCCGTGTTCAGTTGCAAAAGGAATGGCTATTAAATGTTCTACCTACACTGTGTGGCAGCTGTCAGTTTGCAGGGTGAACTTTAGCCCCCCCACAGTAGCCAAAATTCTCTCTCTGTGTCTTCGCATTATCACAACAGATAATATTAGTTTAGCCAAAAAACAAACAAACAAACAAACAAACAACAACAAAAAAAAACCTGCCATCAAAATATTTGCTGATTTCTGATTCATTACTAACTTGTTTTTAAAAGTTAGTGGATAAAAGAATAAAATAGTCAAAGCACTAGCAGGACTGAAGGGTCCCAAAATTAAACAAAGAAATAAAATAGATCTTCAGTTAATATACCAGAAGGAGATTTGCAGAAAAGAAAGAATTTTTAAAAACCATGTAATGTGTGTAGACTTTTTTAAAAATGTCAAAACAGGTGCTCTTTTACCTCTTTCTAAAATATTCATGGTTTCCTTGAATTTGACCCATCTTATGTAAATAAGAACATGAAAAATATGGTAGAAACACTGTTTATAAAAGCAAGTTGCATTACCCTTCTGGCAATGTTTGTCACAATATTTAAGGAAGGAAATAAGATATTTCTTATTTTCCAATTTCTAGTCTTTTTTTTTGGTTTTGTTGCTAAACACAACTTGATGTTGATAATGAGTTTAAACGATTCCTTCTTTACTCTTTTTTTTTTTGTTTAGCACTTTAGTAATGGATAAAGCAGGAGGTGGCAAGAAGGTATCCTGGTTACAGCAAAGGCTCTGACTTCTCTGCTGATAGTTTCCAAGCAGTTAACAAAGGTTGGGTTATCAAGGGTATGACAAATAGCCTTGTTATGGAAAAGGAGACTCCATTAGGCAAGACAGTCAAACCTGTTTTATCTACATTTATTGGTAAATCTAGTCTCTAGATAAACTTATTCTTTTTTCAAAAGCATGTACTTTCTTAAGGCAAGATTTACAAGTGTTACTGAAAAACTACAACTTATTTTGGCTCCTTTGATTAGTAAACCTTCTTGTTTGGTTACTGCCCTGAAGAAGGAGCCTGAAAGCAGAGATGGAAAATAAGTGTTGCCTGCAGTGCACAGGGCCACCAGAGAGGATATCCCTGCCTTCCTGCTGGGCACCAGTGCAGCGACCAGGACACAGAATATCCTGGCAACAACGCCTGCAGAGCAGCTGCTGGCAGCCACACATCCCTGCAAAGCCGGGCCCAGCACCAGGACACAACTGCCCTTCCCCAGAATAAAAGTGAGATAAGACAGGGAGGGTTTCTGCCTTCTTGTGGCACCAAACACCCCGGCCCATTTACTGCTTCCTTTAGGAGCACTGGCTTCACAACCTGTCTTCAATTAGTTTTTATCATGGGGAAATGAACTTCCATCCACCTTGAGTGATTATCCCAAGGCAACCCCGTGGTCTAATTCAGCCATCAGGTCCCAGAATTGCAGGAAGGAGAGCAAACATGGCTATAAATGTTAAACCTACACTGTCTGGCAGGTGCCAGTTTATAGGGAACACTTTGCCCCTCCCTCTATCAAAAACCAGGTACACACACATGTGAAACACAGGAAACAAAAGGAGGACTGATCCAAACTTTAAGGTGAACAAATGATGTTGATGACCTCCAAAATTCATTTTTAATTGCAAAGGAAAGGTCAGTTTTAATCTAAGCAGTCCAAAAAAAAATCACCTTTCTTTCCAAGTCCATAAAGAAACCAAGTGCTTGTGTGGATAGCCAGAGAGGGACATATATATATAAATATACAGGATTTCTCTAAAGGGCAAAGAGTTTCTGGCCTATATATAGTCCCTACATCTCTGATCCTGCAAAAGAAACTCTGAAATGATCTAAAAAAAGACATTAGCTACAATTAGAGACAGTTCACTCACTGAGGAACAGGTGAAATAAAATTAATTTCTTTTTTTGGATTTAATTTAATTTAGACACCATGACTAATGTGAATTAAAGAATCACAAATGACAGGGATGAAAAGGACCTCATTTAGTCTGACAGATGTTTATCTAGCTTGTCCTTAGGAATTTTTAGTGATGGAAATTCTACAATATTCCTGTCTGCAAGGCAACTTCTTGTGCAAATCATTAGAAAAACATCTTCATATTTCCTGCCTGTATTTCTACCATATTTACTGCAGCCCATGACTGCAGAAGACAGAGTTGCATCCTCGGCATGTCAACTTTCAACTCTGCTTCCATTTTTCCAAGAACTTCCATTCTTCTTTTTAAGCCTTACATCAGGGACTGTAATTTTGAAAAACTCTTCCTTCCCACCATATCTTAACACTGACCTAGTACAACCTTTTTAAAATAGGGAATCCAAAACCAACTGTGTTTGTGGTCAGAAATGACAATAATTAAAGTTAGAAGACAAATGATCTACTATAAAGAAAGAGACTTGCACAACTCTACATTTCCCACAGATTTCTAAGAGTTTGCTATTCCCAGTGTGGTCTCTATTCCTCCCTGTCATATGTCATGTAGTTTTTAGACTGCATGACAATGTTTGGAATGGTGGCTGGCTGTTACTTTGGTACCTGCCTTTACTCCCAATGCTACAATTTCTTCATTTCCTTGGGAGAGGCATCTTGAAGGAGACCCATGTTGAGGTGGCAGGGAGAGGAGAAGGAGAGAAGCCTTCCAAAGGCCAGCTTTATTTGATTGTGTACCTCAACTCATCACTCTGTGCTCTACCAGTTTGCCAAGAAAATGACATAAATCCAGTCTTTCTGTTAGATTTATACTAAAAAAAAAAAAAGAGTAGAACTCACATAGTAAGAATGATGCACTTTTAACAGGCTAGCACACAAGCATAATATCAGCATTAAACAAGGCTTATAAAATCAAATGCATAAAGTCCATTCCTTACACCATACTGATGAGTTAATTTGATTTTAATGTAAAATAAAGTAACACTTGACATCTATATCATTAGTGGATGAGTCACAACATTCTCATTAGCTAGAGAAGAGAAAGGGAGTTAAATTGCTCAGTAACTGTAACAACACTTGCAACCTGTCAGATATTTTTGTGTCCATCCTCTATTGCTCTGCTACTAAAAATTAGAAATTATAACATTAACATATAAATAAAGTTGGTTCAAATACTCATACAGAAAGAAGTTCTCTGCTTTGTCCTAAAATTGGGGTTTTTTACACTATCACAAGAATTTACTTCACAAAGCAGAGGCATTTGATCATGTAACACAGAACAAATCAGAGAGAGACTTGGCTTTTGCTTTGCTACAGCTCTAAGAAAGGTGGGTCATACTGCACTTCTTTCATAAATCTGAGGTTTTGTATGAGTGCACTGCAGTGGAAATCAATCCCAATGAATCCCACACTGCCTCCATGAGCTGGCCTTACACACTGGGATCTATAAAGCTAGGTATTATATGAATTATATAAATTATACTATTATATAAATTCAGTGACTGGGCTGGACAAAGAAATTGCTGGCCCAGCCTTGATGTTTGACTTGAGTTGTCTCCAAGAAAGATACAATGGATGTGTGTCTACAGGCTAAGATGAGTCTTTGCTACTGTCACTCTATTTTCTCTCAGTCTTCCTTAATTCACTACTGACAGCCATAAACATAATGAGTTATTCATTCCAAGAAGAGTTTGAATAGGAAATGTTTTGTAAGACATAATTAGTGATTGTAATTTTATTCACAGTATAGTGCATTTTCCTTAGGTGAAGCTGTAGGACGTAAGAATTAAAAGCACACCATCAACTAATCTGATCTAGCACTCTAAGCTATGTAGGTCAAGGATGGCCTGTCTCCTAAGCCCTGAAAACTGTAGAGATCCTTTTAAGGCTGATAGCCACCTGACAAGCCCATCCCTGAGCTGCTGGGGCACGGTGCTCAGGGAGGATTCTCAGCCAGACAGGAACAGCTCTCCCGGTCCCCACGCCGGGCTGTCAGCAGGGCTGGGCTCAACATGCAGCTAGGCTGTCCTAGTAATGTCTGCCTCAATTGTCACTGCCAACCTGCTCCCTCCCCTGCCAGTTTTCAGCTTCCTCATTCCTCTGGCTGGATTGGGATTGAAAGCACTTGAGAGGATAGTTCACGTTCAGACTCAGGTGTTTTTTAGTTCTTATCTATGTCACAGTCTCACAGGCAGTGAGTTCTGCAGTTCTTCACTAATAAGGCACAAAATGGCCAACTATCTTTTGTTACAAGGGCTTTTAAGGCTAAACTGTCCAATTAAGAAATGACATCTAAATGATTTTCATTTTTAACCCAATAACTGATCACTTGAAGTCTGCAATGTGGAGTTTCCCAACCAACTACAAAATACCACCCCAAACCCATGGAGAAGAAGGTGAAGAAGAAGGACCAACCTAAAACCTCCATCTTGCTCTATATCTATTACTGTATTCTAAAAACCCCAAACTCTAAGTTTTCCCCCCTGAGATATCACACACTTCTATTCAAACTCCACACCCACAATCCCAGTTCTGTCATTCCATTTTGGAAGCCTTCTCCACGGCCTCAGGTCAATGCAGTGTTCTCCTGGGGGTCAGTGCCTGCCAGCACAGAAAGTCTGAAATTCTCAGCACCCAGGGCTCCAACACTCCCCCAGATGGGAGCACAGCTCTGAGCTGTCCCTGTGCCACCCCAGGAAGTGCACACCCAAAATTATAATTTCCTGCCAATGTACATGCAAAATCTAAACACACAACAGAACCGTGGTGTCAAAACTTACCATGTTTTCATTTTAGGCTCAAAAGGCAATTCTTCATGGAGGTAAAAACGGTGCAATTTTACAGACTGACACAGTTCTGGAGATAATTTTTTAGAAATATCATAATAATGGCCAAACTTTGTATATGTTGTTGGGCTGGTCTGTGGAAACAACAATACTGATTACAATCTTAAACTATTATCTGTCAAAGGAAAGTAATTAACTAGCAATACACTTCAAACCTCTGGGGTTTTTTTCCAATTCAGCCTAAATAAAAGCTTCAAGTAGAAAAGCATTATAATATTTACTACTAAGTTTTCATTCCCTCATTGTCATACTTGAATGTGAATCTTTTACACAGAGTTCAACCTTTACTATTCCAAGTGGCAGCACCAAAGTGCAGTCAGATAATTAAAATAATGTATTTTTTGCACAAGTTCTAGACAAATGATCACAAATTTGCAAAGTTCAGATGTATGAAATCAGAACACCATGTGTTCAGCCTCTGATTTTTCAGTCTCTGACAATTAGATGCGTGCTACAGAAATATTTTCAGCTGACTTGGAAAATGTTTCTCTGTATTTATGATCAGTGAAAAAACGAACCATTGCATCTCCATATAAGTGATTTTATTAGAAAAATAGGAAATAGTTTAAAATTATTTTCAATTCCTTGAAAATCAAATAAACAGTAGGATGAGCATTACACGCAATAACTATGATTTGTCATAATGAAGATACATTTTCTTCAGATCTTAATTTTGGTATATGAAACACCATAAACCAAATTTAATGTATACCTGTGCAAGAATTACACATTTTGAACACGCTGTGCTATTAAATAGAGGAAATAAATGCATCTGTTTGCTGCACATTAACGGAATTCAGAACAGAACCTGCAACATTATTTGAATTATACATGTAAAGTTAACACCCCTGTCCTGGTTTAGGGACTCCCCCTCCAGATTGTTATAGCATAAAATATTCAAGTAGATAGTATTTTACCAGAAAATGCATTGAACTGTTAAGATTAATTAGAATGATTTGATTTAGGGTAAATATTTTGAAGTTATTTGACTAATAGCTGTTAGGCTTGGTCAGTTGGCAGAGAATATCAACAGTAACAATAATGCAATACTTTTCCTGGAATAACCAATGAAACCCAAACTTTTAGTTAAAAGAAATAATTAGTTTTTCATTTTAAAAACCCCATGCAATTGCTTATGAATATCTAGTCATTAGAGGCAAACCAGTTTTATTAAAAAAAATATATAGAAAAGCACATTCTCTAAATCAGTGTACCAATTTATTTCTTGGTATCTGATTTTTAAAGCAGGCAGTTCAATAAAACATAACATTCCATCAAAATTTAAATGTTTTTATTCTGAAATGTAACTTTATTCAAAACAAGGATTTTGAAAGCAATTTAAACAGGGGCTGTTCTTTGGCCTATAATCTATTCTTTATCCGGATTACAGATCAGAATGTTTTTACTGCAATCTCTGCCAGAGCTCATCTTTTTATTGTGTACTTCCAAGCCCCCTTAATGTTTTAGAAAGGCCTTGACTAACTGAACTTTGATCTGATGTCTTCATTGAGAAAAGCTCCAGGTTGCCCATTTCAGATGCAAATCCTTCCTGAGGCCCAATAGAGTTTAGTAAAGACAGCAAAAAAGAAGAAACAAGAAGTTTCCAGGATCCTCTTTGAGAATCCTGAGGCACATTGGTGTCCTTAATCCACCCCGCTGCAGGGATTAAGGTAGGTGATAACCTCTCTCCTTCCAAAGAATGAGCACAGCGCCTACAAACTGGGTGGAGCCTGGGATTTGGCGCTAATAAAACCCCATAAAAGCAATAAAAGCTGGGTCCATGGTAGAGGGCCCTGAATAGGGCTCAGTGTCCTGCATTCCCAGGCTTAGCAGGGAGCTGGTGGAAAGCCTACCTGACTCAAGGAAGCGTGAATAATGAAAGGGAGCAGAGCGGCCGCGCGCGGCGCCCAGCGCGCACTCGCTGTCCCTCTCTGACTGATCCTTGGGGGTTAAGTTTTTCTCTCCTGGTTTGGTGTGCAGCTTTTAGCTTTATATTAAGTTAGTTTATGGTTTAGTTTATATTAAGTGTTACTAGGATCTTTTCACAGGGCGGTGAAGACAAAGCAATCCCCTTCCAGCTGGAGACTCAAGGACAATCTCTTCAAATTTCAGGCCCAATTCTTGAACAATGTGAAAGCAAGCAAGGAGGATGAAACTTCATCATTTGGAGCTATTAACTGGGCAGTTGGCTCCTGTGTGCAAATGGACTAAAACTTATAAAAACGTGAGATCTCGAGACCAGCACCCTTTTCCTTCCATCTTGGAGCCATCTGGGCACTGCCAGGGTGTGCCCTTTGAAGGCTTTTCAATAAATATCCACTTTATTCCTCTTAACTCCTTCTGGCCTCAGTTCCAGCTCCTTAAGAAGGCATCACTACATTCCTTAGGGGGCTGGAGGCCAGCTCTTTCTCTTTTCTGGATTCCTGGTTTGCACAAGGAGAAATACTCTGAATTGTCAGTGAGCAGAGTGCGCTTTTCCACTACTGTCTGCTGTTAATGTTTCTAATTGCAATACTAATGTGCTAGAAACCTCAGATTTAGGATGAACCAAGGCAGAAAATTGATTTCATGCTGTGACAGTTTATATATTGCCCCAAGAATAAGCAGTTCATTCAAAAAAAAAAACCAAAAAAACCATACTGTCTTGCATTGCAAAACAGGCTCTCCATATACTCAAAAGTTGAAATTTAATTCACCTCTGATACAAACGTAAGTAAGAAACTGGTAAAGGCACATCAAGCATAACAAGGTCTTTCACTCCTTGATAAGATTTCTTATAAATCTTCTTTTTTTTTCTAATGGAAGGTATGTGCAATATGTAGAGAGAAACTGTAACAGCTGTGAAGAGCACTAATCCAAATACCATGCCTAAGAACAAAAATGAGGTACTGGCTAGTCTAAACAGGGTTGAATACATGCAAAGGGAACATCTGAACTACCAATCAAAAATCCATTATTACTCAGAAACAGTAAACAAATCAATCATCAAAAACACCACAAAGGCATCTTTTACTCAGCATTCCTGCTCTGTATTTAGCCAGATAGTGGATAGAAAAGTTTCTGCTATCATATTTAGAGTTCTAGCTAAAAGCAGAGCTAATTTTTCTCTTTCACTGTTGAAACTATTTGACAGTAGTTTTTGAAAATGCACTGGCATATTAGTTCAATCAGTTTGGGAAATACACCTTGAAATTTTATTCAACATTGGTTTTTACCAGCAAAGGAACATTTAAAGGAGGAATCACAACCAAAGTTGTTCATTAAATTATTGAACTAAATGTACTGTTATGGGTAGCAAGGCAGTATCAGATTTTTCCTCAGTGGAGTATAATCACCAATCCAATTAACATAGAACAGAGCCAAAATTTCATGATAACTGCAATACAAAATATTGAAAAATATCAATTTCAAACCAATTTTTCACCAATGAAAACGTCCTCAGGAATTTAAAGTAAAGATAGTTTAAGACTGATACTTTTATTTGTGTGTTTTAACTTTTGAATAAATTTAACATACACATAAAACTATTGTGCCTCAGCTATGGAGAATGACCAAGGTCCAATTCAAAAAGCAACAATAACAAGGGAAACTCCCTGAAAAAGACTGACCATCTTATTCTATCTTGCATAATCAATTTTCAGTAATCAAGGGTGTCAATTTTCAGTAATCAATTTCAATACATCATGCATTTTCAAGAAATATTACATTAGTGGAAGAAGTGGTTACTGCTATGAAGTTAAAGAAGATGAGTGGAAACCCAACTGAATTTTCAACTAATTTTTCTATTTTGTTAGAACATCAGAACACAATTTGTTAACAACATGCAATTGTTTTCATATCAACGTATAAAGAACTCTGCTAGATTTTAAAACAGACAAATTAATTTGGGGATGGTTCAGAGTGGCACAGCAAGCTCCACAATAATAAAATTGATGAGATTATATGATTACCCTGGAGGCTGTTTGATTTGGCATGTCACCATATATAAGTCTTTTCTGACACAACTATATAGCCACGTCTGTGCAATTTCACAGAAAACCAAACATGCCAAGCCTTGTAAGATCATTTTGTCACATTCCAATTATGTTTTTAAGAATACAACTGAACTTACTAGGCAGGTATGACTACATCTAAACCAGAATTTATAAACGTAGACTAAAACGTACAGACAAACCCAGGATTCTATTCTGGATAGTCAGAAACGCTGTAATTTTGTTAAAGACTGATTGTGCCACTGGATTAAATAAGAAAGCCACCAGCCATGGGAGATTGATTATCCACAAAACACCAACAACTGTAAACTCTGAAAGACTGACCACTGAGCTTGTTCCTTACATTGTCCCTGCACAGTGATTAGCTCCCAGTGACAGTGAGGCTGATAGAATCTCAAGGGCTTGCTTTCGTTGTTATGCACACGGATAAGCAGGTCAGCAGCTCGCTTCCACACACCACTTCCATTGCAGACATCCACTAAGTCCTGTTGATTAAACCTACTTACGTAATTTGTGTGCAACTAAATTTGGCCCAGTTTGGAAGCAAACAAATTTTCACAAAAAGCTGTCTCAATTTGATAATACTCATTGAAAAATCCCATTGAACTTAAATGTTTTTTTACTTTTAAATTACTATTGTCTGTATTGAGTACCTGCAAACTCTCAAATTCCCTTTCTTTTTGCATCACTAGTAATTAAAACATTCAGTGATGTATGATAGTTTTCCTCAAGAGGCAATCCTGGAACACTGCCCATCAGCAGTTCTGTCATCTAGATCCTCCTGAAAAGCATTTGCTTTTCAGATTCATTTTGAGTGCAAGAGGAAAGAAGCAGGAAATAGCCATTACCTCCATTTTTGGTAAATTTTGGTAGCGCCACGCTATTTTCATAGAATCCTGAAAATCCTCAGATTTCACAGCTGCTGCTTCATCTCCCAATTCCTTCCCATAGGAATCACCAAGCAAAGGGGCTGGAAGTTCCTACAGGTAGAGAGCAGAAGAATGTCAGCTATCTGCAGGAGAAATGGCAGTTCAGGTTGTTATCCACACCCCCCTCCAGCCAGATAACACAGTTATCTGAGTATAATGGGCAGCTGCAAAATCTGTAACAAAGCCTGATTATAAGAACTCTTCTGAAGGACTGGCTCCTACTAAGCAGGAAAAAAACCTCATGTAATTATTATTGGGAAAATGAATCACAGAAGTAAAACAAAGAATGGAGAATGGAAATACCACATTTGATGCTCTACTTCATCTTGAGTAGGATCCATATTTATTTTTTTGTAACCTTTCTTTAGAGGTTGACCTCCTAAACAACTCCATTTCTGACAGTGGGCAAGTTCCCTGCATATTTAAGCCTATTTAAGCCTTTTCCCACAGCAAATTTAAGCCTGTTTTAACATAAGAACTTTGTTAGCTGCTGTAAATCTTTCAGAAGTCTCCAACAGACCACAGCAGCCTACAGACACCAGCTGAAAGCCACTGCAACAGGATAGTTGGAATTTTCTCTTCTGCTAACCATCAGGCATGATATCTGCTCATGATGGATACCTCATGGACACAAACACAGGAAAGGAAAGGAAAGGGGGAATGTCCAATTCCAGATTTCTAGAAAGTTTCTAATGTACTTTCTGCCTTTGCTGCACTGCTGAAAAAGCAAACAACATGTGATGAATTCAGAACTCATGCAATGGGCTTCTACTGGAAAAATAAAGGGCACACCCATCTCACCCATCCCTGTAAGCTGGAGGGCACAGAATCTCTGTCTGCCTAAAACAGAACAAGGCTTAGCTGAAAACTCTGTTTCCCTTGAGCAAAGACTCTTGAGGAAGAACTGTGACGTGCCTCAAAGGTTAAACCCACACAGAGCTAGCCAGCAGCCCTCTATTGTGTGTGGAGATACAGAAAAAGCAAATTTGAAACCTTCAGAAGAAGAAGCTGGATTGAAGGACGGGACACCCATCAAACACTGCACACAGGCAGGGCTTTTGCTGACCATCAACACCAGGTGACATTCATGGCTTTGTGTGGGTACACATGGCACAAGGAGACAATGAAAGTTTAAACACATCCACTTTGGGTTTAGTGTAACACTAATTTACTATTAATAACATTAAATGAATAATTAATATTAACATCTAGCAATAAATTAACATTAATTTTAATATTAATTACTAATAGGTAATAATAATTATTAATTATATCAATTCTTATTTTATTATATGTACATTTCTTTTATTTACATTAATTTTATTAATATTCTTCATTAGTAATTATTTAAATATTCTTATTTTAATAACAATTAATATTAACTAATAATTATTATAATTAAGAACTATTAATGTGCATATTTCTATACATAACCTTACTAACAATACGTGCTACTTTGTTCATTTTGCATAAATTAACATAGCATCTATAATTATGGAAAAAAAAAAAAGAGATTTCATATAGTTGCTTCTGTTTCTTTCTGGGGTTGGTCACTATCCTCTCTGAGGTACCAGGCAATGGAAGCTATGAAAGCTTGTATAAACTTTATAACTTTATTAAGTTGCAGAAATAGAGCAACTGTATCTGTGTGTTTCAGCAGCTCAGCAAAAAATACAAACCACACCTTTGAGCAAGTAATTTTATTTTTTCTGCTGTTACAAATGAACTGCAAAAGCCTGGTAATGACTATTCATGAGAACGATTGTGTACTGAGCTGTATTTTCAGATTTATCACAGCTTGTTTAAAAAAATACACTTGCATACAATAAACTCATTACTGTGGTAGTAAAAATTAGGCTTTCTGGGTAGGAAAGCTGCACAAAGATGAGCATTTTGACTTAGTATTTACATTTTTCATTAAGTTTATAGATTTATAACAGTTGTTTCAATTTAAAAAAAATTACTTTAGTCAGAGTTCCATTACAGCTACCCAGCAAGAAAGTAGGCAAGCTTTCAAATCAAAGATTTCAGACAGATGGGACAAAATGAAAACAACACTGCACTGAAAGGTTCTGAGAAAGCTTAAGTACAAACTACAGCTGACAAGCAGCCCGATGCATTTCACATGCATGCAGACACAAACCACTCACATTTACTTCTAAGAGCACAGTATGAAGTATTTTTCTTAAAAAAAAAAAAAAAAAAAAAAGTTACTTAGAATTGTTAATTTTATAACTCAGCTATCCCCAACAGAGTTAATCAATCTTATTTTCCAACTCAGATGTTACTTTGAAAACACATACTGAACAGTTCAACATGGTGCAGATTTAATTTCCTCATACAATTATTCATAGATTTAAATACAATAATAATTTAATAAATAGATAGATTTTTTCCTAGATTTAAACTTCCTATCATTAAAATGTCTTTCAGTGAAGAGCTGCTGACACTTGATAATCTCAAAATATTCCTCATTTAACCATAATTTAAGAAAACCCAAACCAAGTTTCAATTAAAAAAGTGAGTTCTGCAAAGAATCTGGAGGCCCAAACAACATTTCCAGACCAACTTGCTCCCAGGTAATTTTTTTCAGTGGTGGGTAATCTCTGCTTTTTTCTGAAAACAAGTGCCTGCAGCGATCATGAAATCTTGCTTAAACATTTTATCCAACTCCCTGAGCCCGCCCCTGGTCAGACACCACCACTGGGCAGCTTCCACATCACCTGCAAAGCCAAAAGGCAGGCAATGGCATATTGCACAATTCTCCTTGCTGCAGGTAAAGAGGAAATGAGCAGCAATATTTCTCACAGCTGTTTAATATTTTTCTCCCCTAGAATGACTGCAAACACCTGTCATTTGTGCTGCTGGTTCCTTGTTGTCATGTAGTAATGGGGAAAGTCAAACTTGAGACGGGGACATCAACTACAAAAATTTGTGTGTTTTACACATGAAATGTATTTATGCTGAAAAAAGAACAGAGATCAAAGGGTGAGAAGTTCTCCAAGCTGCTTAAAAACCTCATGTAACACTGAGAAAGAGTTCCTGCCTTCCAGTGAGAGAACAAAACCTTCTTCCATGGCCCTGTGTGGCAGGGAGGCACCACAAATCCCAGCTGCTGACATCCAAAGAACATAGTCTAAAACAATCAGAGGCACACACACCATCAGTGCAACACAATTTGGCACTGTGGTGTGTCCTAACTGCTGCTGAGAACAAAGCAGATTAAGGAAAAAATATGGTTTCACCTGAAGCTGATAAAAGATTTTGGCTTTCAGAGATGAAAAACCATCAAAGTATCCATCTGAATTCTAAAGTAGTAAACTAACTAAAATTTTATTTCTTTACATTGTCAATAAAAAGAAAAAAGTTATAAAAAATGAAAATAGTCTAAAATTGTTATTCTAATTCTTATTACTCTTTAATTACTATTAACAAATTTTTCTTTATACCCTTTAAAAATTTGAAACCTACTTTGCCTTCCTCCTAATCCTACCTCACAACAAAAAGTACACTAATAATTAACCAACACTAAACTCACCACACTTCTTAATACATTAGCCAAAAAAACCCTCAAAATTAACAAAATCTCAAATTAACAAACCAAAACCACTACAATGGGCAATACTGAAAACACTGAATCATCCACAATTTTCTTCTTTTCTTCATAACTGCTTTTATTCTTCACAATAACTAGAATTGGAATGAAAGGCTTTCCCCTCTTCTGACTCTGATAAGTAAATGTAATTCTTTCTCTCAAGATAGAAAATGTTTCCAAACCTGACCACGCCTGAGTGACACAGTGCACCTCAGTATGAATATAAAAAATATAATATCAAAAACATATCTGTCATTACACAGATGTATCCTCAAAAATATATCTGTCATTACACAGATTCATCCTCAACAATAAAGGCTGGATGGTTGGATCTGTACTTCACAACTTCTCAGCACCATGAAAGGCTTCATTACTGTCCAAGAATGACATAATTTAGGATTTAACAGATTCATGTTCTTAGAATCAAAATCAGAATTTTAGAAGAACGCAGTATTACCAAAATACGTAGAATTTATTTACAAAACTTCAGCCAGAATCTGGAAATCAAAGTGTTTTTTAAACAATGGACCAAGGAAAGGAGAGTTGGGCTATCAGCACATAATCTCTCTGTTTAAACTATTTTTGCTGAAAAATATCTCAGCTCCCACAACACAGAGCTTGGAAAAGCTTTGGGACTGAAAATTTTGTGGCATCAGTGTGTCTGTCAACTTCTGAGAACTGTTACATTCTCCCAGGCTAAAAAAAGACAAATCTTTCATAAGGTACATAAAAAAAACCAAAGCATGTAGCAGTGCATTAGTTAAAATAAAAAAACCAACCAAAGAAACAAAAACCCATATAGCATTTCTTGGGGTCAACTAAAATACAAGTCTTTGCTATGCAGCATGAACACACAAAAGGCAGACAAGTGCTAAAGTTATTAAGGGCAGTTGGGCTGGAGAGAAAGAAGCTTGTTGCAGTTTTAAAATTAAAAAAAAAAAAAAACGTTTGGGAGGAAAAACCAGATTTCTGAAGTGGTCACAGTAAATGACAAAGCAATTAAAATAATTTGGTTTCCTGCAAACCAAGCTATGAAGGTTTTACTGCAAAGATGGGATAATTTATTTCAGTAATAAACCTTTTATCTTTGCAATAAACTGGTGGATGAGCTGTACCTGCTGCAGTCCAGGTCCTTCTGGGTTTGCTGCCACATCACTGAGCCTGCCCTGTTTTGGCAGATGCACGAAGCAAAATCAGATTCTAACAGTTTGACCTCTCTCACTTCTTGTGTTCTCTGGGGGATAATAAAATCCAAGATACAATCCCACAGCAGTTAATGAAGCTTAACCTCACACCCTCTTAATTACCAATGCATTACACCAACTATAGGCATCATACTCCTGTCTAAGCTATTTTACAATTCTAAAGAAGTACTACTGTGCTATTATTTAGCAACATAATCCAAGCTGTATGTGAAATCCCTCTTATATAAAATCCTTTGATCCTTACGGGTTTC